CCATTGAATTTCCTTGTGGGAACTTGGCAGTGAGTGTTAAAAATTCTTCCTTCCTTCCTCCCTCCCTCCCTCCCTCCCTCCCTCCCAGGAACCAGCTCCCAGTTTACAGATTGTTCTCAACTTATGACCATCACTTAGCACAACTGAAGTTATTGCGGATCTCCCAGGGGTTCCAAATTTCTGAAGGCCACTCCCTCTGAAGTCACATGACTACGTTTGAGGTGCTTGGCATGCATTTACAACCATTTTGTAGCATCATGCAGTCACACAATTGTGTTTTATGCTGGTTTTACCAAAAGTAGGCATTTACTTTCAATTTTTGACAAAACTAGCCCATAGCGAACCATTTTATTTGCTTAACCACTGCAACAGTTACTTGATGTTCACAATGACTGCCACAAAAAAGATTATTACGGTAAGTGAACCAATTACAATGTATTCAACCAATTGTAGTGAAGCCTAGGCAATCAGTGTAAAGATAACAAACCAACCACTGAGGGGAAAAGGTGTGTTTCTTTCTCCAGCAATATTCCAGGATACCCTTAATGAATTGTGCAGAGAAAATAGGAAAAGTCTATTTTTCTTAGCCTGTTTTGTCCCATAAAGTGAATAAACCTATCTGTTTGCACAGAGTAGGATTCCTCTCTTCAAAAGTCTTCTCTTCCATTCTGTAAATACAGAGGGAATATTTACATTTTTCCTTCTTTTTCTTGATGGCCTACTATAGAATGTTCTTCAGGGTTGTCTTGACATGTTTACAGTTCCTTTTATGGCAGTTGTTTCCACTCTCCCATCTTGGAAGTTATTTATATTTCAGTTGCCAAACAATTCCCAGCTTTTCATTCGATTATGATATGGCCTCCTTCTATAAGCACAAGCTGCCTTCCTATCTACTGTTGTATGGGTTTGTGTGGGTGTCTATGCATTTATATTTCTTTTAAGAATAGAACCTGAATTAATCAGAATTATCAAAGGTGTTACATCAACACAGGTAAAATATTTTTTTATATATGGATTCTTTGCAAAAAAAAGGAGTCTAATTTTTTTTTTGAAAAAAATGTTCAGGACCTACATATATAAAAAGAAATTTTTAAAAAAGCATTTATTGCCAAGCAAAGGTCAGATTGTTGCCACTCATCCTTGTGCCCAAGTAGCTCAGGAAAAAAAAAGACCAATAATAACATTGGCAAGAGTTCTGTTTGCTTCTTCCTTTTTATCAGAAGGAGGCCAGAAACTAGCTTCCTTGAAATGGAATAATTTCCTTGAGCCCAAGGGCAAGTTGATGGGATGAGGAAATAATTCTTCCAACTACAGCTACATGACTGAACCCTGGCCTTACAACATACACAGAAGGCATGGCTTTGATTTTGTAACCACAGCTGACTTGACTTTTTTGGCTCCCCCTGAATCTTTCTGTCAGTGTCTACAAGCTCCAGTCCCACAAATAAAAATTTCAGCTTTGCTCTGGTTTTAGATATAATGAAAAAAGCTTAAAAGAAAGTCCCAAAGGTGCTATCTTTCAAAAGGCACCTGGACTTACTTGTTTTGCTAGCAGACATTTCGCTTCTCATCCAAGGAGCTTCTTCAGTTCTGACTGAATGGTGGAGAATGGAAGGATTTTATATTCTGTGCAGTCCATGGTCATTAGCCCCAGTGGTGGGTTGCCATTTTTTTTTACTATGGTTTGGGTGCGCTCCCACCCCCAGTGCTGCTTCTGTGCATGCGCAAAAGCATCCGGGCAGGTGGGCGGAGCCTCCCACAGCTGCTATTACCACAGAAGCAACCCCACTATGATTAGCCCTCTTTCTGAGAGTTGTTGAGACCCTTTGAAGGTTTATCTATGCCCTCAGGGTCCCCTGAATCCTGTAGTCTGCAATGTTTTTCCTGGAAATCCTTCCATACTCCTACAACCATTTGAAGGGTGTTCATCCCAAAGCATAGCTAAATGTCTGTGTAGATTCTCAGTCATCCAGATCATGGTTGTCGCAAAGCTGCTTTCTCTATAGACACTGAAAAGGAAAGAGACAGGCAGCTTCTCAGAACAACCCAATGTCATCCCAAGAGACAAGCCCAGATATGCTTTTGATGTAGACTAATTTTGAAACAGGCTAGGGTTAATTTATATTTGCTGAGAGTATGGTTACCTGAGTAGACACGTCTCTTCTGGTGGTGCAGAATGAGTCATCTTAATTCAGGTCACTTACAGGAGAATGCAATATTATAAACGTACTGTTATTATATATCTCATTTGCCAGAAAAGATAATATGTGATCAGTGTCGCAACCTTTTTTTTTTGCATGTATATTGAAAAGCTTTATGTTCTCACTGCAATCACAGAGGCATGAAGGAAAATGCCTGCCTTCTACCCCAAGCTGATCCTTAGCTCTAATAAGAAGTGAAAGTTATGGGAGTTAAAATTCAAAACCTCAGCAGGTCATCAGGGTGCGGAAAGCTAATTTACTTAGTAAGGTGGTTGTTATGAAATAAAGCCATTTAGGGTATTGTTTTCTCATTTTTCTTTCAATCGGCAAGTCTGTTACACACAGCCTCACAAAGGAAGCAGGATGGAATTTACCAGAATACATAGGAAACAAAGGGGTTGCGATCATTTATTTCCTTAAACATCCAGATTGCCAAAGCATTTAAGGTTGCTACGTGACAAAGAAGAGCTGCCAACTGCATAGGTACAAAATCTAAACACAGTATTCTTAATCTTAGTTTTCGCTAAACAGTTTCAGACTGCATTTATTATTTACATGAGAAACGACATTAAGAAGAAATTTATTGTCTTGCTGGTTTTTACTGCTTTATGGATGCTTTATT